TTGAGAAGTATTTCTTTGTAAAGTTTCAAGTCGAAATTCGAAAATCAATTTTTTTAATGTTCCTGAGGGGGACCCCAGGCACTCAATAAAACTCATACCTTACAAATGGACTATTTTCGTAACAATAAGCTATCCGCCCAAAATATTTTCAGCATATTCATAACTCTTTGGGAAGTACATAACGCAAATGGTTTCAACGCAAAAGCGATTGAACAGTTGGTGGCCTTCCCTCGTCAGTTCCTTTGTGTAACTAAAACAAACTTTTATTTCAGTTCTAAAACAGTAGGTTTTTAGTTTTCTAGAAATCGTAAATTTTGCAAAATCTTTGAAGATTTTATTTCCTTCAAATTACTATTTGAATTATTTATGCGCGTTTACATAATAAAAAAACATCCAAATTAAATCTGTATAATTAAACAACGATCTTAAATTTCTGATATATTTGCATTGTTTTTCTCATAAACATGAATAAATTCTCTTTTCAATTATTCCTTTAAAAAAAAAAAGCAAGAATTTAATTACTTGTAGAATGATGATATTTGATGTTTATGTCGATCAGAAATAAGAAATTTCCATGCAAGAGCAGCCGAAGCAGCAAGACTGAAACCAATCAAACCAGCTCTTGGTACTCGTGCTCGAGTTAAATTTTTCAAAACAGGTCGTGCTGCCGATGACGAACCTGCTTTAGCCGATGAAACAGCACTTGATGACATGTTTTCCCTTTTTCTTTTTTTTTTTTGTTTATATAAATATCTAAATAATGCCATAGAGAAGATAATAATAACAGAGAAAAACAACAATAAATATACACATGTAAAAACAGTATTTATATGTGTAAATAGTTTTTCTTTTTAAATAGAACATCAAACCCAATCTGACAGACTGAGATAAGTTGCAATGTCACTCGGTAAAATAATTATACATTAATAATTAAAACAAAAGAAATACATAAATTGTAGTTTTACGATATGAAAAACAAAACAAAAAGGAAAAGAGACAAAATAGGAAACAATAAATAAAAAGAAAATGTTTTTAAAACTAGAATTATCATTTTAAACGTTTAATTAATTTATTTTCATATGTCCATTTTAATTCACCCGATTCAGTAAAATACTAAAATAAAAGATTTTTTTTTTATTAAATATCAAATAAAATTGAAATTCGAGTATTTGTTACTTTTGTTTGCCATTTAAGTGATTTTTCATTACGTTCTTTAGCTTCTTCACGTTGTCGTTGTTCAAGAAATGTTTTTCCTGCCGTTGCTTTAGCAAGTTGTTTAGATTTAAGATAAAAAGTTACATCTTTCCATAAACTAAATTAAAAAAAAAACACGAATAAATAAAAAAATTTATTCTTTATTTTTATTATTTCATACCGACGACTTTCATATTCACTTTGTTCAACAATTGGTCGAACAATTTTTTTAATAACTGCTGTTTTTTTTGTATCAAAAAAAACCTCTGATATTTTACTATCAGTATATTTTGCATTCATTACACCGTTCCATTCACCATCGATTTTACAAAATTCTTTCTTATCTGGACCAAATAAAGTACCAATTATTTGATGTTTTTTTCCATTATAAAATGGCTATTAAGAAAAAAACAAACAAATATTTTCAGATTTATTAGAAGTTTCTTATGATATATATTCATTTTAATAATTAGTTCAGTCGATAAAGCTTCTACTAGATATAATTATGATCAGTTACTTTCTCATAAAAAACAAAAACTTTTCGTAGCGAACTTTGCAAAAATTTTGTTTATATATAGCTGAAAACTATTCTCCACTAAACAACTTCGGATCTGTTTAAGTCCGAGTTAAAGATGTATAGAACCAGAGTGGAAAGTTGTCCCAACCAAAATTAAAGATCATAGTAAAATATTCTATTGCTTTAAGCGAATTATATAAATAAAAAAAAAAAACTGAGAACCAGTAAAAATTCTCAAAATCTATTTTGTGGAATCTTGGCTATTTAAATCTTTAAAAATTAAAAAAATGGGCTCTATCATACTCTACATCCTAACATGTTCTTCTAAGCAAACAAACAAATTAAGTCAATAGAATGAAGATTCACAAAGAATTTTGACTTGCCAAATGTGCTATTGTTGACTCTTGTTAGTTGACTATCATCTAAAACCATCATGGTATAGAACTAAAAATTTTATCATAGTCTCAATATATCTTGAAAATTTCATGTGATTTAAATGTTTCTAGGCCAAAATTGACTTTGTAGAGGGAAGTCTAAACGGTTTCGAGTAATTTTAGAAATGCCGAACTCTAGAGTGTTTCGACTATGATTCAACTTTAGATTGATTAGTGGCAAAAAACTCGAGTTCGAATCTGACTGGACTATACTCCAATCTATTTATAATGCAAATATTCTCTTAGTTGTTGTTTCAGTACTAATTTATCTTAAGTTGTTCGTTATCTTTGAACTTTTAATTCAATAATTCTAAACATTTTTTCTTCATTAAAAAACCAAACATACTTTTGTTAAAAATTCAATATTAGCTGAATATCCTGTTTTTTCACAATCAATTGTTATTTTACCACCCATTTCAAACCAAGGTACTCCAAGGATAGAACTAAATAATAAAAAATTTGTATGACAAAAAAAAAAACACAAATTTATTATCTACCGTCCATAAGCACTTGGAAATGTCATAACATAACGTTCATCATGATCAAGTAATGTTAATGTTGCATCACCAATCATATGAACAGCAACTGAAAGGCCAAGAAATTTCGATTTCGTCCATAGACATCCATCTATTTGAATACGTTTAGCAGGACATTCAGCATAAAATGAAGCAACTATTAATTATTATTATTATTATTATTATTATTATTATTAATTCGAATTGTATTTTTATTACTTGGAGGATGATGAGATGTTTGTTCAGCAATAAAAGTAACATTATCATCGGATGCCCATGGAACAGGACCATCTTTTGCTATTGTTGTCTATAGAAAAAAAAATTCAAATTTGAAAAGAATAATAAATTGAAATATTAATATATGACTAACATTTGAAGATGATGATGAACCAATATCATATAAACATTGAAATGTTTCACCAAGTATTGGATTATATGGTTTTTTAGGTACAGGACTTTTTCGACCAGCATGAAATGCAGATAAATACCATTTAACAACTTGAACAAAACGATCACGTGGTGTTTGATAATCTGTAACACTAATAAAAAAATTCGATGAATTCTTTTTTTTTAATACAAACTCACTTAACAAATTCATCAGGATGAGCAAGAAAATCAGCAAGCATCTCAAGAAAAGAACGTCGTTCAAGAATAAATGTTGGTAATGTTATTTTTGTTAAATCCATTGATATACGAGCCTGAAAAACAAAGAAAATTGTATAGGAATTATTTTTTATCGAGTAAAAGTTTCTTTTTGTGTACTCAAAAAGTGAGTACACTACTAAAATCGGTCAGTGTGTCCGTCCGGCCGGCCGTCCGTCCGTTTATCCGATAACTTTCGAAAGGAGAGTCGGATCGTGATGAAATTTTCT